CACGGGACCAACGTTTTTACGTAGCTAGGCAAAAGGCAACGTGAGTATCACAAAAACATAACGGCATGAAAAACTCAGCCCCTTCCTCTGCTCTCCGTGTAACTCTCCTCCATGCTCGTTCTCCCTGCACGGCCATAACCCGGCACTCACTCCCCAGAGAGAAGCTTTGGCTGCTGCACGGAGACCACGATGCAGCTCCGCTGCAGTGACTCACCCCCCTCTCTTCCACTGAGGTCAATCACTGAAGTTTCTTCTCCTACCGCTTTCCAGCTTTCCTCCTCCCAGATGCCATTTAATGCTCAAAACAGATGCGTGTTTGGGGTTTTGCTATCCGTCTTGCAGCACAACTGAGGCGGTTGATTCTTGCTTAACTTGGAAAAGTAACTACTGAAAATCATCTACGCAGTATGTTTAGTGCTTAAACTGCAGGGAACTACCACAGAAAAATGCCGATGCAGAGCTGTAACAAACTGCTGTGCTTCCTACTGGATTAATATTAACCTCATCCCAAATAACTCTGAGAACTGCTTGCAAAACAGGGAGCAAGTCAACAGCCTGAAAGCCCTCACCCTCCTACAGGGCCAAGACCTGACGTGTGGTTTTCTGACTTCTGATTAGCTTAGAATTTCTATTTCATGCTCCTATCTCACAAATCTGAACAATGAAGTCGAAGTGATCCTAAAAGCCTCGGGCATGTCTGAATCTGAGAGGAGGAGGGAAGGATTAGTTCTCAAAGGGCCAGAAGTAATGTGCAGCCATGGCCAGTGACACTTAGAATAAGGCCAGAACTGCAGTTTAGCCACAGCGCTGTTAGGAGATTGCTGCTGTCGTTAAATTAGTGCCTCGTTTTATCATTACATGTTGAGCAGTGGTATGCATCCTGACACATAATTTTAATAATAGCTTGTAAGTGTCAGTGATAATGTAATCTATTTAACAATGAGCCTAAATATTATCCAGAAGAGAGCATATTATGCCCTGTTAAAACAGCTAATCTGCATAAAACTTATGACAAGCCAGACCTTTTCAGTGTTTAATAAACTGGCTGAATATTCATTTTTAAGGCACTGTCCAAATTGGTTTGGTCACAGATGACTATTTAAAGCCCATTCCAAAGCTGGCAAATACACCAGGGAAATAACACAAGAATGGGGGAAAAGAAACCGCAACAACAAACCACCCCCCATAAAAGCAACAAAAGACTGCCTCTAGCCAAAACCCCACATGATTAACGTCAGCAATAATGGGTCTAATCCTAGCAAAACGTAGGATGACGTTTGTTTGAAGTACTTACTGGCCGCTTTTGTATAGGATTGGTGCAGGGCAGAGCAGAAAATCAGATTCCACCGTTTTTGGTTTTTCATCTGAAAAAAAAAAACAAATCACACGCGCTTAATATACTGTGCTGCTTAAGTGAGGAGCTGATGTCCCTCCCCTGCTCACAGTGTGTGGGTTACTCGTTTGGTAGTGTCTGGAACTTACAAGCAAGGCAGGCCCAAGTTAGGGATAAAGCTGCTGGATTTTTTTGAAGATGTGCCTTGAAGATGCAACCCCAGAGTTGGCTTTAAATGCGAGTGTGAGCCCACACTGCATTGCTTGCTTTATGTTACGTCAGCTCATGCTCTTCCAGAGAGATAACTTACTAGAATACAGACTATTTTTGCAAAGAGTGAGAATGTTATTAGGGATTTCCTAATATTTGGAAGATGAAGGTTTGTTTCTAATTAGCTCCAATCCTGTGCATTGCATTCAAGGACTATTTTATCAGCTGTGATTGGAATGTCTATTTCTCCTGTGTTTCTCATACTTCTGAGTCTCTAGCTGTCTGCAAATCTCTTAAGCTTATAAAGCATCTATTTGCAGAGCACCGTGTCCAGCACAGCACTCCTTTTTCGCAGTTGTGAAAAGGAGAAAAGGATTTGGTAAGCTGGGAGAAATTCTGCTCCTGTGTGCAGAACCATCCTCCCAAATTTCTCCATGGTAGGACTATTAATTTCTGTACTGGAGCTGCTCCTGCAAGCATGGACTATTTCCTGATTTAGGGGTGAGAGCAGATAAATGATCTGCCAGATAAACTTAGATGACACTGCCGTGCATTTAGGGAACAGGCAGACATACAAGTAGTTCAGGGGCAGCTGAAGGAGGAGCTGTTAGCATAAATGAGCTTTTCTTATGTGCTATAATCTGCACGGACTGCTTGGCCTAGATTTGGGGCTAGTTGTGAGGTGGGGAAGAGGGATTAGCACATTGCCATATGTTTTTGTCTTAATGGTATGTTTCATAGATTATTTTTCTATCCCACAGCTACATTTGGCAGGTTTCCTTTCTAGCATTTGGTAATGGTTCTTTATAAATGCAAAAAGAGAAACGTGCCAAATGCATCTTTGAAAAGAGAAGAACTGACAAAATAACGGTTTGCTTTGAGGCCAGTCCCCAAGTGGAGCCCGAGCTATGAGTAAGGGGAACTCTAACAATGAAGTACAGCCCCATCAAGTACCCTCTGTTATGCCCTCAAATGGTGAGGGATCCACTGAGAGCACGCCAGCTTTTTGTAGAGGAGAATGCAATGACATCAGGACAATTTTCCTTTTCCTGGGACCATCTCCTCCTTCCCGCTACTGCTCAAGGAGCACTTCCTGCCTTTTTGTCCATCTGAGCTCCACTGATCTCTCTTAAGTTTCCTCTGAGACAAAAGCACATGGAGCCCAGCACAGAGCTTGCCTATCGGGGTAGGATCACATTAAATTTCCCTACTTCCTTAGTATTCTACTCCCTAAACATTTGCTGTTGTCCGCTGCAGAAGATGGGAACCTGGGTGGGATGCAGCAGGCCTCTGGCAAGACCCCGTACAGCAGATTGTGTTTTTACACTGCAACATATAATAAATACATCACTATGCCATTCCCCTCCCTTCATGTGCTTCAGCACACCCTTTCTTTGGAGCCAAGGGGAAAAAAAAAAAGCAGCCCAGAGATCCAGTAGGAAATTCTCACATCAGATGCTAGCAAGTATTTGGGGGCTTCATCCTGTCCAAGTATACTTATTTCTACCATAGCAAAGCAGACATACACATGCTGCACAGCTATAAAAGACTGCACAATCAGAGAAGCAGAGAAACCAGAGTCAGAACACATTCCAAAAGGTTATTTAAAGACAACATGCTTCAGACATTTTTCAGTGACACTCATCTAAGCTGCTAAAAGGCTTTCTAGGTAACGCATCCCAGGTCTGAGAAATGTTTACAGCAATAACCATTCTCCTACTACCTTACCCAAATCTGCTGCAGAATTTGAAGCCACTTGCCTCCTGTTCTCTTCTCAGTGGATTTTTAGAGCCCAGCTTATTATCTTCAGGCCTGCAGCAGCCCACACTTAACAACTTGGTCTGTTCTTTCTTTCCTGTAGATGCAACAAACTGAACTTTTCCAGCACTTCAACAGGATGCCCAGAGAAGCTGTGGATGCCCCATCCCTGGGAGTGTCCAAGGTCAGGCTGGATGAGGCTTGGAGCAACCTGGTCTAGTGGAAGGTGTCCCTGCCAATGCAGGGGTTGGAACTGGATGGGCTTTAAGGTCCCTTCCAACCCAAACCATTCTATGATCCTTCCTCACAGCCTGTGTTCTGGACTTCTGCCCATCCTTGCCAGCTTCTTCTGGACACTCTCCACAGTGGATTCATGCCCCACTTGTAGCATACAGACCATCAAAATCCAAGTTCCTAGGGGCTACTGTTGGCAGCACAGACTGCAATTCAACAGCACCACAGACGACCAATTGTTAAGTACCACAAGCCTATTTGGTATATGCTGCTAGCATTGCTATTAAATAATGCCAAAACTGTTAGTATGATAGTAGCACTGGCCAGCAGAGCAAAGGATGTTTACATTTGTGATGCTTACGGAAAATGGCTAAATCCCTCCTTAACTCTCATATTCTATAGGTTCTTATTTCTACCAGTCCCTTAATGCACTCCATCAGGAGACCCTGAATGGTACAAATGCCACTACAAACATAACCATACTGACGCAAGCCTCAAAACACTCAGGTGAAAAATGTATGTGCTACGATTTTAACTTCCCAAATGGACAGATTGGGCTGTGGAGAAGTGACTGCTCATGGTAAACAAGTCAGGAGCAAAGCAGGAATAGAACTGAGGAGCCCTTATGACTTGCAAACCAGCCACTTCAGGTGAAATTTAAGTTTTAGTTATCTTCAGGTCATGTCACCGATATCTCAACTATTTTCCCTAGAAAGTGTGAAATTGATTTTATTCACATGGAACTGAACTAGTCTGTTTCCCTACTTCTCCAGTTAAGAAAGGTACACCATGACATTACATACACAACTGCAGAAACAGCTTTACAATATTCCTAATTTGAGCTCCATGAAGCGAACTTATGCAACAAGGGTAAAGAAGCAAGCTATAATTTAACATAGGAAACAAAGGTGACAATTTTAATTGAAACTGAAGGAAAATGTACACAAGCAGAATTTATCTTCATAGGTTGCCTTATTCTAGAACTACTGTGCTATTTTGCTATTCTTCCAATTTATTTTAGATATTTAACAGGCAGGAGAGATTGGCAGCCCGTTCAAGTCTATATGATATCCAGAGAAAGGAAGAAAATGTACTGGAAACACATGTTCAATTGGGTAGGAATTCAAGACAGGCTAATATAAAAATCAGACAGTAGGTAGGGAAAAAATGAGTTGGGCTTTTTCTTTTCCAGTCTGGCTCGCTTCTGAGGGTTCCTGCTTAGAGTAAGAAGTTGACTATACATACACTAACCATACACTTCAGTTTTTGGATATAAAAGATGGCAGAGGCTTCCATTAATAGCATTTTTTCTACCATCATCTATCTTGTGCCAGTTCAGGGAACAGGGCAGCACAAGGAGGCTAATCCAAATTCTGGCATGACTTTTCATCTGCCCTGCTGCAAGCTAATTTACTGAGCAAGACAAGACCAAGTCCTGAATATTTTGCTGAAAATTAAATTCTCTGGGAGCATACTTATTCAGATACCAAGAAGAAAATAAGTCTGCACTACCTCTCAGTTACTTTTAGAGCTATTCTAACTCTGGCAGCGTTCCACTCAGAAAAATTTCACCAGTGGCACTTGTAGTTTGACAAAGGAGTAACTAAGGATTGAAACATCTGGACATCTGTCCAATGGTGAGTACTACACAAAACAAAAAGAAAAAAAGAAAGGAAAAAAAAAAGGGAAAAAAAGCTACAGGGAAAGTAAAAGATGCCATAGTCACTCTGCAAAAGAATTCCTTTCCAGAGGTCAGGAAGCTATAGAGTCCAGCTAGGGATGTGGTTGCAGTGAGACCCACTCCTGGAGGAGAGTGCTGCTTGGGACACTGAGGTGATGAACCATGTGAAAATACAGGGACAAGAGAGTACCAACTCTTCTGACTTGGTCTTGTTCTATGCTGTAGCAGGAGCTCCAGGAAGAGGACCCATGTCACAGAGGGACACCCACACCCTGCCAAGCCCCTGAAACAAACAGCGTAATAGTGAAACATCTGGTACACCAGCCTGAATGGGCAGAGATGCTCCAAGATAAGGTAAGTGTACCTTGGAAAACAGTGCCTTTTGGAATGAGGTCCTGGGTCTTCTTACAAGAAGGGGCACTTGGTCGGTACAGTCTGTGGTCATGTTTTTTTTCATCGGCAAACATCTGCTCACTTGAACATCAGGAGCCAGACAGTTATCACTGTGTTAATTCACACAGCCAGCTGGGCTGCCAAACACCAGTCAGAGTTTACAGCTCACAGCAATTGGTAGCAAATTCAAACCACTGAGCAAGATGTGAAATAACTTGCATCCTCTTATTAATCCTCAGTGCTTTTCTTTTTTTCTCCTCTTCAATACTTTTCTCTTTCAATTTTACTTAAATGCGGTAATAAGAAGCACAATAAATCACTTAATAGGAAATATAAAGCCAGATCATCTCAGACTTCAGTACTTACGAATGGTAGTTCCATTGACTTGATAGGTACAAGTAACACCATCAGTTTTCCCACCAAGGGTTAAGCCACTTCCTCTAAGAACAACTTGAAACTCCTCTGGAGAGAAAAGCAAAAACCCAGAATCACCAATCTTTAATGCACTGCAGTAAGTCAGACAAGGCGAATTTCAATATAACCTGCAATAAATGAAGCACAACATAGTACTGCTTCAAACTTCCTCAGGTCTCCTTTTTAACTGACCCCTTGTACTGCGTTCTTCAGCTGGGTCACTATAGGAAAAATAAAGATTGGTTCCCAAATCTTTATCACTGAGGCAGCCCTATTAAAATGGAAGGTGAATCTGACTGTCTACCAGATTTGGGGCTCAGTTGCACAGTGAGAAACAGCTTCTCAGTGAATATTCTGACAAATGAGAAACCTGGGTCTCATAACAAGAGGACTCCTCAGACATGGATCAGGACCACTCAGAAGTGCCAGGTAAAGAAAGCATCCTTAGTACTGTTTCTCTGGAAGGTGGATAAGGGCCACACTACCTGTGTGGAGGAGCAGGGAAAATGCTTTGTTTACCAAGGCCACTAATTTCATTGAGAGGATCCATGTTTTTACAAAAAGGGATTTTGCAACTACCTTGTTTTGACTGGCCTCAAACTATGTTTGGATTGTGAAACCCAGAAAGAAGACGAGCCCTGTTTTGTGTAAGTCCTCTACTCAATGCATTGCTGCTTGCAACACAAAAATGCAGTCAAACGCTTTACTGCTTACACTCCACAGATTTGGGGCAGGACACTAGAAATGTTTTTATGAATTGCTATGAACATATGTTATCAGGATTCCTAGAACTTAACTCCGTGACCACAGGTAAAACAGCATGTGAGCATCTCAAAGTAAGTATCACTGTTTGCGTATGAGGGCAAGTGCAGAGCATGACTAATGGGGGAGGGGCAGATAAATGTGTCTCAAACTTTTACGTGCATTACCTAAATTATGAAAGTAAGCCCTCGAAGACACCTCCTCTGAGGAGAAAAATGAGTCAACAGAGAAGGATCTGATCTTTCTTAAACTCCCTGAGGATTTTTTAGATAGAGAAGTTTTATTTTAGAGACCTCGCTTTGAGTAAAACAGGGAAACTACAGTCCTATAATAATTGAATATTATTTTTAAATTATAAAAACTTACCTCCAACACAGACACTGGATGGCTCCAAATATAAAATCTCAGTGCACGATTGCTTCAAAACCTATTGCAAAGGAGGAAACTAGTCACACATAGGTTTCAGAGTGCTATTTCAGTGAGAACCATTATTTTAAAACAAATGTTTGTCCCTAGAAGATACACATGCATAGCTACAGGTTTCAATTGCACAAGTCTGGCTTTATAGGACATTGCCTTGGCCGTGTAAAACTTCTCCATGCCTGCACAGTCAAGTCTTCTAAGAGTTCGTAAGACTTGGATTAGCTTATTAAATCTGGGACAGTCTTCACAACATAATGATGTCTGATCTTGGTCTTTTAAATTTCTGTCCAGATCCCTAACCTAATTTTCCATGAACCCCAATCCTAATGTTTAAGCCAAAAATTAGTCACAAGGAGCCTGATCCAAGATCTAATCCAGTCAAAAGCAGTCTTCCAACAATCTGTGGGTCAAGCCAAGTGCATGTTACTCCAAGCGCTGGCATCCTGCCCTACGTAAAACAGAGCAAGGTGTTCTTGACTGTGCTGCCTTCTGTTGGATGAGGTTTTTTCACTGCTGTACCAGTCAGCCTGCTTTGATTCTCCAGCCAGCCAGGGAATATTATTCCAAAAGGCTGGGACAGAACAATACTCCTACAGGTGACAGAAGGGCTGGAACGTAAGAGAAAGGAGGAACTAGACATCTTTGACAGATTTGTTCTTATAAAGGTCTCAGACTCTACCCTTAGCTTCAGCCAAGTCACATTTACAAATACATCAAGTGATCGTTATCCATGGTCACTTAAGCAGAGGCATAAATAGCACCCAGTTGTCGATTACTGCAGACTTGTTTCCCAGTTGAAAAAAGTGCATCTCGGACGTAATGAGTCAAGTTTGTCTGACTACAACTGTTGCTGGAATCTAACCATGAGACTATACACTAAAACCCTGCTGGGACCTCTGTCCCACCGCAGGGCCCCATCTCAGTGGTTACTGTCCAGGAAGGAGCTGTGATACCTGTTAGCAAAATGTTAATCCCACTCTCTAAGCAGGTAATAGGATTTCTGCTAACTCAGGGGGAATGAGTCTCTTGAAGCTTGTAGGGTTAAACACACACAACCCACAATTTAACTTCATTCTACCTTCACATGAGAATGAATGATTTTTCCCAATGTTTTTTAATTTTCCTCTCACTCGGAAAATTTTCACATTTTTATATCGCTTCCCCTGGCACAAGTTTTAGCAGGCACACGTGGAATAATTTTTAGCAGGCATTCATATGCAATACCACCTGGAATCAATTCAGGCCCTTGTAATCACGTGCGTAGTAGAAAGTCCTGTTACCATCCCCTCTCTACCTTCATTTTCCAAAACCGTGCCTGCTCCTGAGCTGGCCTAACTGTCAGTAAATATAACTCTGTCTTACTCTTAAGCTCCTTTTTCCTTCCTTTAAATAAGTTCCTCTTTTAACTCAGTCTACTCATATTTACTATTGATTTCTGTTGCTACATAGCCAGCCCCAGTAAAAACAACAACATATTTGCCACTGTACCTACTCAAAAAGCATGCCAAGCTCCAAGGAGACCCTGCCTCACTGAACACTTTCTAAATCACCTGTCTTCCCACAATGTGGTGCACAAGTTATCCTTTTAGTGCTTCACAGACCATTTATAAACATGAATTAGTATTTAAAAAAGCAGAGACCTTGCAGGCCCATACGTTTGGATGAAGCACAGCAACAGAGATCTTTGGAAAGAATGTAGCTTGAAGTGCAGTGCAAGTCGACCAGTTTATGTTAGCTGAGGATCTCGTCTCACTTCCAAAAAAGGACTTGGCTTTTTGATTCGTACTTCAGTGTAAAGGGAGGAAGTGCTACTTGGTTTATTTTACAGGGGGAATATTTTGTTCAAAATAAAAATATAAAAATATAGAAAGAATAAAACATTTTATTCCTTTACAGTAAAAACTTGTTCTAGGCTTTTTTTTTTCTTCTGAAGAGACTGAATCCCATGAACAGTCCAGTTTAAGGCAATGAGACTACAGACTTGCTTTAATATGAAGTACAGACCTAGTCGTTGGCAGTATCAAAGCCCACTGAATTCTGATTACTTTATTGTTTTTTCCAATTCCTATCCTGTCCCTATTTTCTCACTGCCTGATGAAGTACAGACACATTATGAATTGGGAGTGGAGGGGGGGAAAGACAATAACAGACAAAATCTCTTTTCTTGGAAAACAGTACTTCTGTAATTGCACTGATAGTGATTTTTCTAACACTGTATTTCCAAATGCAATGTAAAACAGAAAAGAATGTTACTTGGAGATGCTTAACTCCATTTGGATTTAGAGAATAAACCGGGGGGGGGGGGGGGGGGAAAAAAAACCAATGCCAACTGAGATAAAATACGGCCAAGATTAAATGATCACAATTAATGAACAAAAGCAAATTTCAATATAGGGTTCAGGATATAGTGATTTCCCTCATGTCAGCATGTAATTCAAATTTATACATGTAGATATGCTGATCTTGACATAAAGCAGGAAAATATTGGGGTTTAATACTGTTCCTAGAAATAAACAATTGCTTTGACACTAATTTTTCATCACTTTATAATCACTGCCATTCTCCACCTGGCTTGAGAAAGCTGTACTGTTCTGAGATCCTCAGTCTCCCTGCAAGGGTGGTGGCCTATGATTGTAATTTTCACCCAAACAAAGCTTTCATTAGTGGAAAAACAACTGTGTGAAAATGCTAAAATTTGTTTTTGTAAGTTTAACTAGTTCTTTTCTGTCCTTTGAAAAGCTTCTTGATAATCCATGCTTTTTAAAGAAGGATAATGCTATAGAAATCTGCCTTGCCCCTTAAGATCCTTCCAGTCAACAACAATCATCACGTAACCTTAAGAAATAAAAGAAACCTCATAAATACTTGACTGGAATCAGGTGTAACCATCCTAAAAGCAGGCAGATAGCTCTCTGCTCAATCTTTTCCATCTTGAGTTCTTCTCAACACTCCCTCTAAGCAACAGTGAAACAATATGCAGAATTGAATTTTCCATAAATTAGGCAAAATCGGAGCGTTCTTGCAAAGGGCCGAATCCCAGTAACTGCACAGAGCACTATCAGTGTGACTGGTTTGGCTCTCAAGGATAGGGTAACTAGCTTTTAGCTGTCACAACCAAAAACCTGAAAATATTTTCAGATATGGCAATCACCACTTGTTCTTTCACATGTGGGAGAGGGGATTTTCACATCTTAAAAGGATGTATAGAAACTTTTGCCCTTTCTTTACTTTTTTTGCTCTGGCTCACACTCTAAAAATTTTTGTCTCGCTCTTTCCATGCAAGCTGTTCCTTCCAAGCTAGCACAGTGCATTCCAACAAAAAGCTCATCTCTTTCCTTTCGGAGCAATGATGTGAAGGCATCCTACCAACTTTACCTTATGATCCATGTTCATTATTTAATATGCCTTCACATCTCTGGATCAGGGCAGTTCCTGTTTCACCCTTTCTAGTACCCCTGTGGAATGATCTTTCAACAACAGCTGATGAGGGATTTTCCTAAGTGGGTGTTAATTGTCAAAGTTCCCCTTCTGACGATGATGGTGCTTTACTATACAGTTGAAAGGGGTAAGCACTGGGCTCACAGTCTCAGCAGTAACAGCTTTTAACGGAGCTGTCTCGGTGGCAATGCACAAACCAAAGCACACACATAATTTCACCTCCCTTCTCCTCCTCCCCTTTTACAAATATAAAACTAACTTTAAACTTTCAACTATCTTGCTGCGGAAACCTGGGCAGTGAAGTCAGCAGACCAAAATGAACACTACAAAAATCTGTACTACGCTCCATATTTCCCAGTTCAGGATAATCAAAGAGAATTATTTCATTGCATTGCCAGTTCATTATTTAGAAACCTACTGCCCAAGAGAAAAGTTGAAATAATTACTATATAAGGCCATCCTTGGATAGTTAAACACTCTGCTGATACCAAATAAGTTCAAGTAAGACTATAAACTGCCTTAGTTTAACAGCAGGAAGGGAGAGATACAGAGATTTGATGTCACCCATTTCATTGCCAGAGCTCCACACCAAATACAGGGCTCTCTCTTCTTGCAAAGGCCGGGCTTGCAAAGGCACCTAGCCACCTCCCGGAATGCTAACTGTCCCACAAAGAAACGCTTCCCCACAGCCAAAAGTGCAAAACAGAGTTGAAACCTGTCAGCCTGCGTCCTGTTGTCTTAGAGCTTCAGAAATGGAGAAGTGTGGAGGAACTACAGAGCGGGTCCTCCAAGCCCGGGACAGAACTGTGCTGTGCGGAGCTGGGTACAGCTGGAACCACAGAGGCTAATACAGAGCACACCGAAATCACAGCTGTGGGCTTGCCATGGTTAACGCTCCTTACGCAGCATGTGTGGCTGCTGGAAAAAGAGAAGGCAGTCGAGTTCTGCTCTTCAAAGTAGCCACTCTCTTGGGACTTAAAATGAGACATGAAATTCAGTCCCCAAACATCCACTTGTTCAACAACAACAGACTGCTGAGGAAACCCTGTTCTGTAGCTCCACCATACACAGAAGTTGTTACATCACTGCCATATTGCAGCAGCAGCAGCCGAGCATCTAAAGTTCAAAAAAATATGTTGTTACGCTGTTTTCTACCAACAGTTATTACAACAGCTACCTCAGTAACAAGCGGCACGAGTGCAGCTTATGCTTCGTGCTGAAAGCACCGCCCGGCACAGCTTCTGAGGGTTGGCTGAAGGCACAAGAGCCTCTGCGGCTTTCAGTGAAATCGCATCTTATGGATATTAAGTGAATGGGTAACTGTACAGTTTCCATATAATTTCTCAGTAATGCAAGTTAATAATTTCAGAATGCTTTCCGAGAGCAGGCATTATCAGAATAAACGCATCCGAGAGATCCCATGGGCACTCAAAAGCAACTTCACCCTTGCTGTAAACTCACTGGCATATGCTGGGATTGTCTGGCCAAACAAGCTTTCCTTTGCTGAAAGGGTCACTCATAAATCAGCTGCTGGACTGCCCAGTTCTGTCCGAGAGCCAGCTATCG